TTACACGAATTTACTCTAGTGCGCACCAAAAACAATCGTCGACAGTGAGACCGCGGAAATATTGATCAAATATACCCTCAGACCCTCGGAAATATACAGAAATGTACCTTCCCATTTTCCACATATACTGTAAATATACCGTAGTCTTAAATCATATTCCTCGACTTTGATGTTCTTATTGATATTACTAGCTTGCAACGACATTCACCACTAAAACAATAATTTAATCCAATTGTAGAATCAATTTGGCTTATTATAAATACTCCTTTATATTGGATTGTATACCTTGTGACCTTATATTTTACATATTTTTATTTGAATTTTGCATTCAAATCACTCCCTCTGGAAGCACGGGAGCTTTGTCTTCAGTATGTAAATGTATGTCAATTATTAAAAGAGACATGTATATTAACTGATGATATTGAAAAATTTGAAAAATGTATCGCATGCACTATTAGGGATCCTTTCAAGCGGTGTGAAAAAGGTGGGAGCCAAACAAAAGCTCGATCCTCCAAGAGGGGAGTATGGTCTGATCGTCTGGGAAATATATATATATAACCGGCTAGTTAATATTTTCAACGATAGAATTATAATTAAATATTAAAATTAATACAATAAATTCCTCATTTTTGCGACTCATTTTGAGCACAGAAATCCCACAGAGATATACCAAAAATAATATACGTTCACACTTACATAAAACGTATTCTTCACCCATTTCCTCGAATTTGATGTTCTATTTGATATTACTAGCTGATTAGGAGTCTCAGCACTGAAACTATAAGTGTATCCAATTTATCAATCAATTCTCCACAAGATTGACTACTTTTCACGACTTCCTTTTATTGGAATAATTGCGAAATAAGGTTGAAACGATACTGTCAGTCAACGATACTGAAAAACAGTGTGGCCGCGGACTTATCGATAACATACACCGCCTGATCCTCGGAAAGTATGATCGTATATATTTCATATCATCTACACACGCACTATGGGTAAAAAGCCCGAATTTTCGGCCATATCCCAAAAAATAAATCTAGACCTAGAGAAATGGGCACGAATGTTCGTTAGACTTAGGTAGAAATTCTGAAAAAATTGATTCTTTTGGACTCACTCATAGTGTGACCTCATAGGCATCTGCAAAATAAACCATTTTCCGAAAAGGGGCAAAAACGGGCAATAAGGATTAACACACATGATTCTAAAATAATAGGTTAATAACATGTACCTTGAACTTTTGTGAAGTGGCGTGCTGAACAAAAGTAATATTCCACAGAACACCCGTGAAATTTTTAGTACCAAGCAAAAAATACACACGAAATAAACATTGGACTAACAATTAATTTAATTACCTCGAACTGATATTTCCATATTTTTACTATTATTGAAACTTTTAAATCGAGCTAAAATTAAAGCTGCAAGTTGTTAATGTTTCCCGCACTTTTCCACAATTCAAAGCATCTCAAAATCAGCCTACTTCACCCCGTACAAAATTTCTAAAACCGGTTTTATTCTAACTTGATATTCAGGAATCAGAAAACTAAGTCGCATTCAAATATTTTATCAAAAAACAATTACATTAATGCCAAAAATTCGGGCTTTTGGCCAATAGTGCATTGTGTAAAATAGTAAATATGCATGAAATCAAGCGTAGTGGGAATGAAATTCAGGGAATTTGCACCTTTTGTGTTATAAGAGGAATACCATCTCGAAAAGAGATCATGAATGCACCATTGAGTGCGTCATATAAAAACTGAATGGCATAAAATGTATCCAATGGACTTATCCAGTGCTGTCTAGAAACTGCCAAAATCAATGGCAGATAGTCCAACCCATGAAGTATAAGGAGGTCTCGTCGGCAGAACGGCTCCCCTAGCAATGCAGGCTAGTGAATGCAGCAGTCCGAGCAGTCCGAGTGAATGGGTTCTGCGTAGTAAGTGTGAGTGAAACGACAATGGAGTGTTCTGATGGCATGGGGTTTAAAGTTGCCCATTGCAAGAAATGGAGTTGAAGTTTTCTTTTTATACCCGGTACTCGAAGAGTAAATAGGGTATATTGTATTTGTGCACAAAGTGAATGTATGAAACACACAGAAGGAATCGTTTCCGACCCCATAAAGTATATATATTCTTGATCAGCATCAATAGCCGAGTCGATTGAGCCATGTCTGTCTGTCCGTCTGTCCGTCCGTCCGTCTTGTTTGTCGGCTAGTTTTCAGAGACTATAAAAGCTAGAGCCACCAAATTTTGCATCGAGACTTCTGCATGCTCACACTGTAACAAGTGTATTTCAAAAATAGGCCCCGCCCCCTTCCGCCCCCGCAAAAGGGCGAAAACCTCCCAAATCTACATTATTGAAGATAAAAGAAAAGAAAAGATAAAAGATTCCGTAGGGAATGGCCATATCTATCAGATCACCAAATTGGGATCCGATTGGATCATTATTATAGCCAGAATGAAGAAATTAATTTGCAGTGGCTAAACCCACCCTGTACCGCAGCTTTTGTTGTTCTTTTCACATTCTCTCATTCTCACTCTGCTTCTGCTTCACTCGGCCTCTGTCTCTGTCCTCCCTCTGCCTCTTCCGATTTTTAACCCACACCGTTCCACAGCTTATATTTGTTTTTTTTGTGTGCGGGCGCTGCCTCTGCCTCTGCCGCGAGTCTGCAGTGTGTGGGTCTAGTGAAGGGTGGCGAGCTAAAGGAGAGTGATGAAGATGAAGAAAAAATGTACAATTTTACAAAACACCGCTAAGGTGCAGATGTAGTACTGAGTGTCGGGTATAAAAGTTGTGACGCGTAAGAAGCGTCTCACACGTCCCTTCTCCTTTTGATATGCTACTGTCCCGCTCATCGCTCCCTCTCACAGTGCTTAGAAGCGCACGCATATGTATGCACCCTCCGTACTGCTTATATTGCAGTGCTTTGCCCTTTTCTTTGGCCCAGTCTAAAATATTGTCGATCGCAGTCCAATTATTTATACATATGTCCAACGCCAACCCCTTACTGTATCTTTTTTTGTTGTTTAAGTCTATAGAGGGGTTGATGAAGTTAAAGCTGGACGAACATATTACAAGGCATGAGGTTTTGCCGGTCAGATCATACGCCTTCAGGAGGAACAGGTCCACGGCGCTCTGCATCAACGACCTGATCAACGAGGTCCTGGCTCTGAAGGCGAGAGGGAATCAGGTCGTGGCGGCCTGTCTTGACCTACAAAGGGCATTTGAATGTGTAAGAGTCGACACGCTAGAGCAGAAGATGAATGTCATGCAATTCGACCCGAATCACACTGCCTGGATTGCCAGCTTCCTGAGCAAGCGTCTACTCATCAAGGGCAAGAGTGAGATTGAGGTGAACAGGGGAGTTAGTCAGGGCAGCTGTCCCAGTCCAACTCTGTTCAACTTGTACACCGCAGAACTGCACGAGATAAACGATGGCAATTGCCTACTGTTTCAGTATGCGGACGACTTCTTTATTATTTGCTTCCACAAGGAGATTTCCATTGCCAAACGTATGCTCCTAGGAAAAATAGACAGCTTTGAGGCAAGATACAACAGGCTTAACCTTGCTTTCAACCCAGCCAAATCCAAAGTGGTTCACTTCAGCATCCGAAGAACCGAGCTGAACATTGAGCACCAAGGAGTCGAGATTAGGCAAGTAGATCAGATAAAATATCTAGGCAGAATAATTTCAGCGCACAACTCAGCCTCAGTGCACATCGAGCAAGCCATTTCGGAGTCAAACAGAACCTGTGCGTTCCTAAGACTACTCAGTGGGTGCCATTACGGTATCAGCCCAAAGAGAGGGCTCATAGTTTTCAAGGCCTTTGTCAGAAGTGGACTAGAATACGCTTGCTCGTCTTTCAGCAACTTGTCCAAATCCGCTCTAGCCAAAATCAAATCTCATTGTAACCACCACCTTAGAAAGTCACTAGGCTTAATCATCTGCACCCCAATCCCGATTATTTACCACATGGCAGGAGAACTTCCCCCGGAATACAGAATGAGATTCCTAGCGGCAAAAGAGTTAGCTAAGGCATTTGCGTACAGCCTCCCAGCGAGTAGGACAGTGTCCCTAAACAGGGACACAAACACGGGCTACGCCAAGGCATTTCGGGAGTTCGGTGATATTCTGGAGAGAATCGAGGTCTTTGAGAGTACAACTTCGCATTGCACCAAAATTAGGTCAGACTTCGACTTTTTTAAGGGGGCTGCTGTGAACAATCGCAGCTTAGACCAGGCGGGCATATTAGTTCTCCATAGGGAAAAAATGGCACTCCTGACAAGGGGAGGCTTCGAGATCTACTACGCTGATGGATCAGTAGCTAACAGACACTCTAGCGCAGCTTTCCTGCACGACAGCTCAGGTTTCATAGACAGCTTTTACACGCACAAAACCTTGTCATCTCTGTCCGCCGAGTTGTTTGCAATGGAAAAGGCCTTGGACCATGCCATTTCCCGCGGGTTTTCTCGTATCGCCATCCTAACGGACAGCAGAAACGGGGCTCTAATACTGACAAGGAAAATACTTTTTTATTTACTTGGAAAATATACAGTCGTTAAATAAGAAGAATGGGAGAGAGAGGATACTGCTCACTTTTTCCCTCTACCTCAACAAAACCACGGTTCCTAAATAGAAATAAGCTAAAAGCCATTGACGCTAAAAGGATCAATTGACTGCTTAGCGGCAGTGCATTTGATAGGCACACACTTGCCAAAATGCACGTAGTCGCAAGTAACATTTGTAATACTTGCGATACTATCGATGACTATCGTATTAATTTTAATTGTACCAAGTACAACACAACAAGACTAAACTACTCATCGCTAAGGAAATACAATAACATCTATAAATTCTTCGAAAAAGAACAAATTAGCTCGTACCAAACTTTAATCGAGTTCATCGACAAAATTGGAGTAAAACTGTAACAAGTTACATATCTCGACGTGGCGATTTCCACCTTGTAAGGGCGGGCGGCCAAATAATCCCCCTCTACCCAAGGGTAGAGCGGTAACATAAAACCTCAAAAAAAAAAAAATAATGTTGTTTTTGCCACGGGTTTGGACACCACAAGTTCGCAGCCACCTCCGGTACTACGCCAACAAATCCAAGTCTCAGTTAAAACCGCCAATGGCCGACACCGTCCCAAAGGAAGTGGTGCACGAGGAGATTTTCCGTTATGTAAACCCATTTGCCAGGATCAATGTAGTATCCGATCTGATTGTGCGCGTCAAGTCGGCCGATGTGCATCAATACACCAGTGGTAATGTGTTTATAGCACAACTGCACGGCTGCAAGCCCAAAAACACAAAAGTCTCGTTTGATGTCAACGTTTCCGACGATGAAAAAATCGTTAGTGTTTCGGTAAAGAAGTCGGCGGATAAAGTATCCCGATTCGAGTGCCACCTTCAAGTTCCGGTTCGGTCAGACGTTTTCATAGAAGGAGGAGACAATGTAAGCGTTGAGGGCATACAGAGCGAGTGTCTTCAGGTCAAGACAGAAGGTGCCATTGTTACCAAGAATGTGCGGGCCACAAACATTTCGCTATACAGTGAGAATGGTAACATCAGCTGTGAGGGTACTCTGCTGGGAAAATCCACCGAAATTGAAACTCACAATGGTGTAAGCATTTCTATGCATATCATATACATATGTATTTCGTTGAATCGCAATGATTGTTATACGTTTCAGAATATTGAGTTGGACAAGCTGCAAGGAGACAGTCTGAAGTGCTCTACCAAGGCAGGCAACATTGTCACAGACTGTTGCTATGTGGAGCAATCAAAATTTCAAACAGACACCGGTCGCCTGGAACTGAGAAATGTCCACAAGACAAGCGAAGTGCATATCCTTCAGTCCGGCGAGCTCAATATGAGTGAGTATGAGAAAAAAATTACCGATTCCAACTCCTGTTTCACTCTACGATCGCAGCTGGAGTCCATGGCAATCTGCAGGTGTCCACCAAAGGAGGCAGCTTAAATCTGCAGCTTTCAGAGCTGATGGGGCAGTGCAGTATTCTGGCTGATAACTTGGAAAACGACGCCGTTATCCACATATCAGAAAGCATTGAAAACGAGTCGAACATTGAAGTAACAGCCTCTGAGGTCAGGTTAGACGACGAGCTAGAGCATGTGGCACATGCGCTGAGCGAAGACAAGAGCAAATTTGTACTCAGCAATGTGAACCAGCATCAGCGTCTGATTGTCAAAAGTACTGGAGAAAAAGGTGTTCGCTTGGGAAAGCAATCCTGGAGCGACATGATGCGACAGAAGCTTCAGGATATGGCCACTAAAAATTTAAAAGAAACAAACACTACTCATTAAGTTACGAATATATTGTGCTGTAAGCTAAAATATCAGTCCTTTCTTTTTGTTTTCCCTATTAAGGAGGGTTATCTCTTAGGCTTGGCCCAATTTCTTATCTAAAACATCGCTCAGACGCTCGTGGGCCTTCGAGAAGAGCACATCCTGCTCAGCTATTAGAGCGGTAATGAAGAGTTTGGTTTTGCTGGCGTCAATGTCTTGTAGATTTTGAATGTCCTCAGCATTTTTTGCCTTTACAAGCATGCATGCCAGCAGACGCAGCAGCTTCGAGGAATTCTCCACATACTGCTCCTTGGGAGCTTCATCGTCCTCGTCCTCAAAGTCATTGCTGTCTGCATTGCCTTCGGTGTAGTTTTCTATGTGCTGTCTTAGTCTTGACCACACTTCTAGCAGATTTCCGAAAGCATCTTTTTGATAGAAATAATTTAGGCGCTGGAAAGAGGCAAGAAATTTGACTATTTGATTATTGTTTCAGGATTCATAGACTCGAGATTGCGCCTTACACTAAAAATATGAGCCACATCGTCGAGATACTCTTCTTGGCGTTCGCCCAATGGAATGAGCTGCAGGGGCTGCAGAAGGAATTCCAGAATTCGCGACAAGCAGTTTATGATGCTGGGGGCGTAGACATCCATAGAAGCCTGCGCTTCAGGCAGTTGAACAAGAATGGTGCAAATGTTGAGGTAGGTTTGTATAATCTCCACATCACAGGTTATTTTTGGGGAACATGACTCGTAGCCGACATCAGCGTCTTCTTCGGTGTCTGGTTCGACGGCCTGGCCATCACCTTCCTCCCCGACTTCATCAGCCAACTTCGCCTGATCATCGCGCATGAGGCGCAAAAACGAATTGTTCACCCCCTCGCAGAGCTCCTGCACCAGGAAAACCTCCGCAAAGGGCTTCAGCTTGACTGTAGAGTTGGCGTTTTCCTCCTCGACCAAGGCACAACTGGCCAGTACAGCATTGATGGCTTTCAGGGCAGCCGTAAGGAGGTCATCGCTCACCGATTGCTGCAGAATAAAGCCTAGATTCCTGGCCGAACCATCGAAGGCGGCGAAGCAGACGTACCAATCTATCGCAAACTGCTCCTTTCCGCTGGTCACATGTACCATGATGTACTGATACACACGCATCAGTTGTATAAGCATGCAGGTGTCCATGCAGGTTGCCAGCTTAAGGAGCGTCTCAATCCACTCCGCGTTGCTCGTCAGCTGCTCCACGCACCGAGCCTGAGCACACATGTTGCCCAGCAGACCGATGAGGATCTCGTACAGGCGCATGTCATCGCTTCCGGAGATGGCGTACATAGCCAGCTCGATGGCATCGTTTTCCAGCAAGAGAGTCACCACCTCCGGCGACACGGACATGTCCCACACCTTGCACAAATCATCCTCCAACTCCTGCCCCAGCGACCCCGCCTCTTGTTGGCTGAGCTTCATTAGCGTCAGCAGAATGAAGCGCCTGCTGTACATTGTCTCACCCACAGCATCACCACGCATGCGCTCCAGGAGCTCCTCATCGTTCTCGTCATCTGGTTCGTCGTCGTTGCTCTTAACCCCGTGGGCGGGTGGGGGAGTGTCTGATTCGTTGCTGACACTTGCGCTGCCGCTCCCAGCGTTGTTTCCTTTCTGGATGTGTTCTGCTGGCAGCGTTTCGTTGCATGACGCAGCTCTTGGAGCTACGCCACTGTTCCCGTCACCGTTACCGGCGGCAAGCTCGACATCTTCGTTTGGCATCTGAATTGGCAAGTTAAACGATTCTGTTCTAATACGCACCAAAAAACTCGCCAAAAAACCCAAATTCAGTGTGACCGCGGAGGTCTCGATAAAATATACCGACAGTAGGGCTGTCAAATATATATTAAAACATCAATATATCGATATCTTTTAAAAATAAAAGTTAGTTTATGTATAGTGTGATATTTTTTTTTTACAAATTATATAAAAACACAAATATAATTTACAAATATATAAATATTTGTATGCCATTATTTTTCGATATTTTAAGTTCGGAAACTAGCCACAGGATCTTAATAAATAAATAGGGTATATTGTATGTGTACACAGAAGTGGAAGTATGTAACCCACAGAAGGAAATGTTTCCGACCCCATTAAGAATAAATGTTTTTGATCAGCATCAATATCAACATCTGTTGGTGCGTTGACTGTATGGTTAGTGGTTTGGTCCCAATTACCAAGAAAGCCAGCGGAAATGACCTCCGCAAAAGAATTTTGTCTCAGAGCTTTCTAGAAAAATTGGAAGGTGCAATTTATGGAGCAGTGGTTGTTTTTGTGAGGTGTGTGAAATAGAAATATGATATATAAATATCTGGAGGATTTTAAGGGGACTTACTCAAAAGGGTTATAAATGTACAGCGAAGAAAAGTTGAATAAGTCAAATTAAAAACACAGAAAAGTGGAATAAGGACTAAAGATGTTATTAACATATGTAAGGTTTCTTTTTTCTTAATGGGAACTATATATTTCGCCTGCGCTCTGAATTGAATGTTAGCAAGTATAAATAAGAACAAAAAATCAAATATATCGATATGTTTGCAGTTTCCAAACAAAATATTTCACCGATATGATATTTTCTAAATATTTGACAACCCAACTTGGGATTCTCACCATGAAGCAACTAAGGATGAATAAGGAGGTCTCGCTCTCGCTGTAAGTGTGAGTGAAACGACTATTGAGTGAGCGCTCAACCTTCCGCGTCGGCAAGCAAATTTTAGGAAATAAGACTAGGAACGCTGCCGCCTACGAGACCTCTTTATAGTTGCTTCATGCTCTCAACAATCTATCTTATTGAGGAATCTGTTCGGAGCAGCAGCAATTACATAATTATTAAGATTAGCTCACCTTGTTTATCTCTTATATTATTATGCTATTGTCGCGCCTCTCACAGTGCATAGAAGCGCACGCATATGTATGCACCCTTCGTACTGCTTATATTGCAGTGCTTTGCCCTTTTCGTTGGCCCAGTCTAAAATATTGTCGATCGCAGTGCATCTCTCTGAGCAGTCCAATTATTTCTACATATGTAAAACGCGAACCCGTTACTTTAATCGAGCTCTCAACTATTGTGAAGTTTAACACACCGAATCGCAGTTTCTAATGTTCCAAAAATATTGTGGTACATATTTCCAATTTATCGATCCTAAACTCTTTGAACAAATTATGACTTCTCGCTGCAACACTTTCTAGGTCTCTCAAATTAGTGTCAAATTGATGTGGGCTATACAAATTGTAGCAAGTCTTTTGACTTAGTTAATCATAACCTCCTTATCGGCCCCAAGAACGTGGTGGCCGAGGGCTCCAAGAGCCAGGCGATGCATCTGTTTAACGCCGACCAGTACATGGATAAATAGATATACAATGAGCAGCTAACTTAAATGTGGCTTCCTTTATTAACGAATTGAGTTAGAAGGCGGATTCTTCTAGCAGGACATTAAATATTACAAATAGGTACACAAAACTCGCGCTATGATTTTTGGGCTGACAAGGGGAGGCCGTCGCATGGAGTGTGCCAGCTACTTCCTTGACAGCAGAGACAGAGAGCAGGAGCGGGAGCACAGCTTAAAGCTAATAGAGAGTAGACCCCAAAACTGGCGTGGGAGGGAGGAGAAATGTACACAATTGGTGGATTCCAGGGCATGGACAGGGGAAGGGGAGGGTGTGGAACGACAAGACTGTTTGCTCACTCCTCACTTCCTGCGCTCGTAGAGGTACTCATCCTCGTAGTACCTAGGCGTTGTGGCAATGAACACCTGCGGTCGGCGCTGCTGCAGCGAGATGTTAATCTCCTCGGGCGTGCGGAAGACCTGCTGATGCTGCTGCTGCTGCTGCAGATGCTGCAGCTGTGGAGCGGCAGTGAAGAAGCGGTACGGCGCCGGCGTTACGGTGGGCGCCAATGTCTGGGGCCGCTGCTGGTGCAACTGCAATTGGGGGTGGTGCAGCTGATGCAACTGTAATTGTGGCTGGATAGTGGTCGTGGGCTGGGGCTTGCGATAGGCCAGGGTGGTCGGTTGCGGTTGTGGTTGGTGTCGGATCTGTGTGGGATGTGCCTGCTGCTGCTGCTGCTGCTGCTGTTGATACTGGACACGGACTTGAGGTTCCTGCTGATGCTGAATCTGGGGCTGCTGATAGGCGATCACTTGACGGTGTTGCTGCTGTTGGGGTTGCTGTTGCTGATGATGCTGCTGCTGCTGCTGGTGCTGTGTTCGTGGCCTGGGCGCCGCCGGCAACTCCTCCTCCTCGTCGTCGTAGCGCTCGTGCTCATAGTAGTTATCGGGGAAGTAGCGCTCCGAGTAGCGGAGAGTCACGTTGGGCTTGCTCTGGTGCTCCTGCAGGTTGATGGGCTTGTACAGGTAGTCGTTGACGATGTGGTACTTGGAGGACTGCTTGCAGATGTTGTCGTGAGAGGGTGGCATGCAGATCAGGTGGATCTGGTGGAAGGTGAATCCCTCTGGGCAAATCCACGAGTGTTTCTGGCTCTCCTGGCAGTAGTGGAACACCTCGCAGCTCAGCGACTCGTCCGCGTAGTAGCTAAAAACAGGGATAAGTGAGCATCACCTTGAGCGACCGACCCATTGATAGGTGCTGTCTTACCCAGAGTTCCTGTCCGTGCAGCTGAAGGATGACTTGCTTAGTAGCGTGGAGAGACGGTCGGGCTCCTCGATCTCCTCCTCCTCCTCCTCGCTCTCCTCGCTCAGCGGCTTCTTTTGTAGCTGTTGCTTCAGGTAGTTGTTCTGCTGCTTGGTATTACGATTGATGTACACTTGGCGAGGCGCCTCCTCCTGATCCTCCTCACTGTACTCATACTGCTGGCGCTGCTGCTGCTGCTGGTGGTGTTGCTGTTGTTGCTGCCTGTAGGCCAGATGCGTCTGGGCTTGCGTCTCAAAGTCGTCCTCCTCCTCGGCGCCGCTGGCGTTCACGTCCAGCGAACGGGCCGAGAACCCCTTTGGCTGAGCTGTGGTGGCCGTGGCCGAAGGTGCTCCTGTGGCGGCTCCATCCACAGTGGCCCACAGGCCGGTGGCAACCGACAGGACTAGTAGCAGGGCTGGGTGTGTGCTGCAAGAGAAACAAAGCCATAAAATGAGTCAATCCCAAGTCATTCCACCTATAGACACGTAGACAGGCACTTTATGATATGGGAAACTCTGTGGCAAGCAGACAATCAAGAAAGAAGACCCACAAAAAACGCGGGAAAATATTTTTGCGAACCTTTTTCTTGTTTCTCTTGACTCGCATATGCCGCCAAATTGCAACCAAAGCCCCATCGGATCGTCATTGGCATCGGCATCTGCAGCAGCCCAGCGACCAGTTATGCAAGACCAGACCAGGCCAGAAAACTTGTTATAAGGTAACAGCAAGTCCCAGTGCCAGTCCCAGTCCCGTACCGTCCCAACTCATCCCGTCCACCATGAAGATGCCACAGAGGCTGAGAAGCCAACGAGGAAGGTTTGGCTTTGGAAGCCATAGAAGACGGAATGCACTTGGCAAAGTTCCATGCATCCATCGAAAGCTTCAAAGAACAGTCTGGACAGAGGATAGAGTGGGAGAAGGAAAATCCTTTTTGCTTGGTACATCCATCGGGACGATGATCTGTGCTATAGCTGATATACCCTCTTCAAGGGAGTACAATAAAGATGCTCAACTTGCCATTTAATCGAGACCCACTCTCTCACACACACACACACACAGATCACGGATCACAGACAACTTGGCTGAATGTCAACTGCTACTCATACGCATAATCTCTGAGAGGCATTCCTGTCCGATCGATGGTGCTGGTCAGTCAGTCCAATTAGCTAACGTTACGTGCCCGTGCCTGCCTCTAATTGAGGCCGTAACTTGGAAAGCCGGAGTAACAGTCACAAATAGTTGAGCAAAGTGAAATAAATGTGGCAATAAAAGCAAAAGTCCGAGCCAAACTTTTACTTTTCCTGCCAATCGAATGTCTCGTCGAATGGATAAGTGGACTCAACCGTGCTGGCCGCTGGCCGCTGGCTCTGACTTTGAATCTTTACATCTCCATCGCGCTTAATTGGGGCAAGTTAATAAAGTTTGACCTGCATGAGGGCTGAAAAGAGTTTGATGTTCCAGACATGGAGTTTCCCAGCTGCGCTGCCATTTTCAGTTTCATTTGCAGTTTTATTTGCAGTTTCAGTTGCAGTTGCAGTGGGATGGATGCACCTTTGAACTTTAGGCAGCCTCTGGCTGAAGATGTGCAGCCTACCACCGCTTGTTGCATTGTCACTGTCAACGAACCTTTTGCGAAATGTGCCTGGGAATCACTCCATGTTCACGTTCAGCGCCAGAGACTGTGCTTTCTTCTCACACCTGCCCCACATGCAAAGAGTGCTCCCCCCCACTATCATTGCCATTCCGATCATTCCACCTATGGCTGCTGCTCTACATGTGGGGCACTGCTCGGGGCTCAGCACTCTCACTGGCAATCGCAGTCGCAGTCGCATTCGTAATCTGCGTTGCATGGCATGGCCAGTCCAGCCAGTCTGTCTGCCATAAATGGTGCATTAGTTGCATGTCTCGGGATCTGACTCTCTACCTCTACCTCTAGCTCTAGCTCCAGATGGAGACTTTATCGTACTGCCATTACATCACAGCTTCACAGCCAGGCGGCAGAGACGATGCGTTGATGGTTTACGTTCAGTACCCCTACTGCCCCCAGTACTGCTCGACCACCTTTCAGCCACTTCTGGCATAAGACCACAAGACAAGCAGAGAGTTGGTTTCGTTACACATTACATGCTCCTATTCGTACTCGTACTCGAGACTGACTTGATTTTGCTCTGCCGCAGACTTTTCTTGCGTATGAATCTGGTGCTGAATTGTATCTCTTACGAGCCACCATGTGGGCTCGGACTATATTTGCTTTTGATTTTCTTAAATGTTGGGTGTGCGTCATGTTAGATGGACATTTTTGGGGTGACATAAGCAATAAGCAACTCTTACGACAGAGAGTGCAGCAGAGTGCGCCACAGCATCAGGCATTTTGATGCGTTTTTTATGGGTTATTATCAGATTGGATGAATGCCACTTTAGATTCCTGTTCTTCCCTTATTTTGCATATGTATGTTTAATCCCTGGAGTACGAGTGCGAGTACGAGCTGTTACAATTCCAAATCTAGCTCTTTTAAGCATTTTATTTACTTACTTTAACTAGTCGAGTTTGTTGCTCGAGTCTATTGTTTTCTCTGCATTCACCACTGAGACCTTAATTAAACGCAAGCTCGTTAACAGCCCTCCCGAAGCCATTAAACTGTGTGTATTTCTGTGTGCACTGCTTTAATTTCGTTTTTTTCACTTTTTCCCAACTTAAATCTTTTTGTAACAAATTAAACTCTGCTAATGTGCGTGCAGTTAAGGAGGTGAGGTGGATTTTTAATGTGCTGGAATTTTACGATTGGCTGATTTCGGGGCATCTAAATAATGTGCCCCACAATTGCTCGGGGAAATGGATTTTATGTTTCTTTTCTCTCGTACTCCACTCCAATCTCTGTCTTCGCTTATCTTTTGATTTTTCGTTTATAATTTTCACAAATTTGTAACCGTTTTGGGGCTGACCTTCGCCATGCCTGGGCACTGCTTAGGGGGAGGGAGTAGGAGTGTGTGTGTGCTTGTGTATGTGTGTATGTTGTGTGTGATGTTTGATGACATAACAGTCAAAGTGCCATTGGGATCCCATCCAAGCAAAAGTACAAGACATTCCAGTACAGCAGAATTTCCATTCAAAGCACACATTTAATGCTAACCTTTTATGTTTCAGTTCGTTGATACATATTTATGTACATTTGTACATACATATTTTTCTGTGTCAGATCGACATGTGTATAGAGGACTCAGAGATTGCCGCCACTTTCAGATGGTCATGATACCCTCAAAGGCTAATAGCCAGAAGGCAGTTGCTGGGACTAGGTGGCTTTGGGGCGTGGCATGGCACGCTTGGGCAATTGCGCATGTCTGTGCGTAACTGAAATTCCAAACGCTGACATATTGCGTATACGCCCCGTGCATTTGATACAATTGCCGTTCATATTCGTCGTTGCTTATGTAACCCATGCGTATGAGTAATCCACACTACGTTTTAGAAAGGACAAGTCCCCGATTATGTGAGGCAATTTATTGTGGAGATTGTGATCTATATCTCCATCTCTCTCTCTCCCTGTATCCCTCTCTCTCTGTGTCTCTGTTCAGAGGCGTGACCAGGTCCAATCGATTCCTAATCGATTGATCTACTTTGGCTGTGATTAATTCAGTCCGACAGCTGCCGTTGCTGCCCGGCCTGGACATCGGATGGCTTACCACAAAAGCAAACACAAATTTTTGGCCATAAACTCCCCCTGCCTTCGATTAGGTAATGGGCTTAGGCTTATCCCCCCTGGTGTAGTATTGAGGAACTGATGAACTGGTGGAGCAGCAGCTGCCACTACTACCAGCGTCTAGTGACGGTACTTGGCTGTCTGAAAGAACTGTCAGTGCCACAGGCGGGCAAGAGACCAACGAAAACAAAAACTAAAACTCCCACGCCAACACAGAGACAGCAACAGAGACAGAGACAGAGACGGAGACGGAGGCAGACTTTGGTGGAGGAAAACGAACCCAAGAGACACGCTCCAAGTACGAGTCGAGTATCGTATCTGCTTCTGTTGCAGTAGAAGTTGCATTTGGCTGTGACTCGTATGTATGTTGCTCGATTTTGAAATCTTTCAAAAGAATATTTCGTGGTTGGTTGCCAAGCAACACAAAACGGGGCTGAGAGAACGAATCGAGTCCCAGAGACTCAAACAGACAGAAATATACTCAGACAGAAGTCAAACAATACCAAAATGTTAATTATTGGTTGAGGTTTCGGCACGAATTTGTGGGTCTCTGGTCCGCAGGGCCAGTCCAGGCCCAGGCCCAGGCCCAGATTCGGGTCTCGGCCTATGATTCATTGCCGTCTGAGGGTCTGAGGGTGGGGATGGGGGTACACTTACTGCATTCTGTGGCAGACGCCTCGTAGTTAGGTATCCAAATAATGTGCTTGTCCTTTGGGCAATATCCTCTTGTGGGCTGGATAAAACGTAACACTGCACTCACTTCTCGTTCACTCGATGTTCGGTCTCGAGTGGGCGTTCTTGGGGTTCGATCAGAGGAGTCTAGTGTTTTTCTTTCGAGTTGTATATTTAACACTGAGTTGCGCTTGGGCAGCACTTTTCTTGCTGTTAGCGGATTGCTAACGGTTCGCTCGTCTAGCTCAAACAACTAAGTGAATGACTTTCTTTGGCTGGTTAATGCTTTATACCAAAAAGTCGCCGCCACACTCGGCCGAAGCCAACCGCCCAACAGATCGGGCCCCAAGAGCATGTTTTTCTCTCTCTATTATTTCTCTCTCTCTCTCTCTCTCTCTCTCGAGCTCTCTTGACAACCGCCAAGGGGTGTGAACAGGAAGGTAAGGTGGTTCGCCACTCGTATGCATATGTGTGTGTAGAGTGGTGAGCGGGGAGAACCTTTTACTAATATATCTTGCTCACTGCCCCCTCCCTCCCCCATCTATCTTTCTAGCGGAGAGGGGCTCAAAAATTGTATTCGAATTGAAACTTTTGAGTGGAATTTCCTTCGCCGCCGTCAAGTTCGTTGCCGAAGTCTTTTGTTTTGGTGTTTGTTGGTTTCGTTTCTAGAACTGTATGTCTGTCTCTGTGTCCGTGTCTGCGCCTGTCCATTAGTCATAATCCAATTGATATTACTCATGCCATGTAGCAGCATAATTGAATGCTCAGTTCTTCAAACTTTCGTGCAATTGTACATGTATAAAACTAACTGCTGCACTCTACAATTTTGCATTTGCAACCATTGGTATTGGTATTGGAATTGGATGGGTCCCTAACTGGCTGGCAGTTAGAAGCCACTGCCTAGATATGTACGTACATAGTGTAATTAACATTTTCACCGCTGATTTTCTCAGCCTTCGCGGCGCATTTTGCATGTTTGCCAGATACGATACGATACGATACGAGACGATGCGATACGATGCCAAGTAAATGAAAATAAAAATCACTTGCGCCGGTTTCTGCAACGAGGCTGCGATGCTCCCACAACGCTGAGGCAGACCACAGAAACCTGTGCGGCAACTCATCCATCGAACGAAATGCTAAAAGCTAACCCAGGCACACAGTACAACACAGTACAAAGATATACACCGATACTCGCACACCAATGCATTTGTTTAGCTAATATGAATTAATTTACAATACTGCAAACGCCTACAAGTGCTGTGGGGAGGGGAGGGAGATGCGCGGGACGACGCCTCCGATGCTGACGCCTCCGTCTGTTGAACTTTTGCGTTTCTGTGCCGTTGCTGCTGTTGCACTTGCATCTGCATCTGCCTCTCGCATCTCCACTTGTATCTGTATCTGTATCTGTATCTGTTTCTGCATATTTTTCGGCGGGCAGCATTCAAGCATTGCAACTGCTTGGCCTGGCGTTCAATGTCTGGACACTGACCGCACCATTATCTCAACATACACACACACACACACACACACACTCAAACATACACACAAACATACACACACACATACATATATAAATATAAATTTCAAATAAATATATATTTATATATTTGGCAATGCATGCAAAGAAGCGTAACGCAAAGAAAGTGCAACTTGTTGCTCTGCTTGTGGCTGCTGCTGTTTTGGAAAAGTGTTTGGGGCCCCAATCCCCGTGCCCGTACCCGTCCCAGTCCCCGGCACTGGTGAAGTGTTGAAGTGACTTGCTCTGCCCAACAGGTGATATAACAAGTTCACATAATTTTCTGGCTTTTCTTTTGGCGTTTTTATTTGATTTTTCTTTTTCTTTACTCCACCCGTCGTCATATTACACATTTTGCAGCTGTCGAGTATGCACAGTCGCGGCAAACAACTTCACGACTCTGATGGATAATTGCAGGCGGCAGCTAATCACAATCGGTCCCTTCCCAGACTCGACTAGAGCCAGCCTTATAATGCATAATTAATAAATGTTTTGATGGATTCAGTCAGCAGCGTAACCAGCCTCAGCCCCTAGGAGAGCTAGCCAATACAGACCCTTCCTCCACTCGGCCACTTGAAACTTTTGCTGACAAATGTCTCCCCAATGTCGCTGACTCCACGCCCCGCCTTCAGCTACTATTGTCCCATAATAGCACAGGTAAAAATTCATTACACGAACTAACTGGCCAACTGGCTATCTGGCTAACTGGCCGACCATTATGCAAAGTCCAAGTCCATTCCGATCCACGCCAGAGCCATGCCAAAGTCATGGCATAGCCATTTCAGCGCAGCACGTTTCGAGGAAGTTGATTGTCACAAAGGCCTCTCATAATCATAACTGTGTTTACTGCCACAGCCTGTCCGCCTGTCCGCCTGCCCGTCTGCCCATCCCATCGACTTCGACAGCATTAACAACCGGCGCGACGGTCAGGTTCATTGGGGGAAATTATGGGCATTGCAGACACAGCCAAAGTGGCAAAAAGTAAACCTCAAATCGCACTTGTCCATTTCCTTTCTTCAGCGGGGGGAGAGAGCGCTCTTAAAATTCCAAAACAACCCGCAAGTTTCTCCCAGTATTGCGATCATTTTCGCTGCAATTGAGAATCGGCCAGGTGCACTCTGGACCCTGATCCGCCCAAGAAATCAAAATAAAGCAACATAAAAGAGACAGACAGAGGCAGTAAGGGAATGGGAATGGGAATGGGAATGGAGAAATGTTTCCCATCCACTGCGATACGATGGCTGGCCTCTCTTTTGTTTATTAACTAATTAGCCCGAATGCTTAATGCTCCACATACTTTCCGTCCGTCTGTCAGGTTATGTCAGGGTTTTCCCTCGTGCCGATCTCTCAATTGTGGGCATTTCGCAAGAATCTCGCCAGTACGCCTCTGTCTTGATGGATGAAAAAGCGAAAGTGAGTCTGCCTAGCTGCCTGGCCACCTCCGATCCGCTAAGCTAACGAAACGTTCTAATTGGCCACGTCATTCGCGGGCTTTGAAGTTCAAGGCCGCGCTCGAAGAGTGGCGAATCGAAATAAATTTCAACCAAAGTTCTCTGGGCGTTGTTTCAGTGCTCCGTCCATTAATGATCACTAGCGGTAGTGGGATCTGTTTTAGATTAGCAATTCGCTCAATTCGGGCATACATATGGGCAAATTAAGTGATTTTTGGACATACTCTTCTGATAGAAAGGTGGCATTGAAGGATACATGTGTTTGGGAATGTTTCTCATACTCCGATTGAAAAGGGTAGCTACAAATCGGCTTTAAATAGAAAATGTGAGGGTTTTTAAGAGTTAATTGGGCACACATTAGCGCCGAGTGTGCTTCAAGTTATTTAATTGATGATTAAAAGAGTCAGCAGTACCAGCATCAACAGCAACAGCCAGCACACCCACACCCACACCCACAATTAGCCATTCAGATTTATTCACTTCACATTCACATCATAATCATCATTTATGCAGTCAACAATGGGCCAGTTTTAGATCATAGGAGCCACATTCAAGCCGGAACTTGTGCGCTACATGATTTGTAAGTTTTAACTTGATTGTTTTTATTTTTTTTATGCGCATTAACATCAAATTAAATTGGATCCGTGCCTTTAACGTCTCTATAAGAAGTCTGTGCAGGGAATCGGAACAGTTAAGTTTCGGCTTTGGTTTCACTTCTGGGAAGGAAGTGACTCTGAACTTGACATTGAGGTGCGTGCCGTCCCGCCGGCCAAAGAAATGTAAATTTCTGACCGTTCTCACGAGCGAGTGAACCGAAAGGAAGGAAGTCAAAGTGGCGGCCAGGTGGCACATGGTTTCAACTGTAGTTGCAACTGACATCCGCAGATCTGTTTATGAGTAATTCAATTGAAATCAATTCAAATCAATTGCAATGCCCCCGCTTACAAATTACCAATCCACGCCACCTAAGGCAACAAAGAAAATGGTGAGGGGGAAAAAACCCATAGCCCCCCTTAAAGCAAGCAAACCAAATCCGCTTTTGTCCAATTGTTGCGCACTTGAAGCATGAAGCGTGCCCGTCAAGTTGGAGGTGGAGCAGCACCTGACGGACTGTTGGACTGATGGACTTCGATGCACTCCTCCGACATGGACAGTCCGATTGGGCATGGCTGACTGCTCTAACGGGCTCTGGTGGTCTGGCGGTGGTGGCGGCTACTTCGGGCGTTGCCAATCCCATGGAACGCCACAAAAGAAATGCTGACTCGCACACCAACGTGGAGGCTGAAGTTTGGGCTGAGGCTTGGGCTGGGGCAGGGGCTTCAGATGAGGCTGGGTCTGCGGCTGATTCGGGGCTAACGGGCTCATTAATTTCAGTTCAAGGCATCTTTACGTAAACTCGCTCGTTCCGTTGCCGATTTGTAACAATAAAATAAACTTGAAGTGTAGACGCGAGAGGAAAAAAACGCGCAACCATTCCAACTACAAGTAAATTCGCAATTTTGTTACAATTTTCATTGTCTTGGGTGCAGTTCAAGTCCGAATCCAAATCTGAATCCAAATCCAAGCCCTGCCATTGCCACGGTGCCAGCCCCAGCCTCCTCGGCCACTCCCAGGGCAACTATTAATTATCACAATTCAGCAAAAGTCTGTTTGTTTTCGGGTCTGACCGCCCTATAATTACCCAAGCGGTTCGCTTTAATTGCCTTAGATTTATTTTAAATGGGTCAGGTCAGACGTTAGCAGTACGAATGCTGCTATGAACTTGAAATTTCTGAGTGTTAAACTTAACCCACTCGACTACAATGCAAGGGTACAGTGGCACACGAAAAGCAATGCCAATTTCGAGCAACAGTTACATACAACAGAGTCCGTGGTTTGTACCCTTAGAATCCCTTATAATTCCCCAGATGAATAACTACAAGTCGGTAGATCTGTTGAGGATGGATTGCTTTATTATATCAACATACAAAATAAACTATATTTTCTGTCCAATTCCTATAGCAGGTACTCTACAAATTGCTATTGTAAGCGGCTCTTTATACCCGGTACTCGAAGGGTAAATATTGTACTTGTGCACAAAGTATGTAACACACAGAAGGAAACGTTTCCGACCCCATAAAGTATATATATTCTTGATCAGCATCAGTAGCCGAGTCGATTAAGCCACGTCCGCCCCCGCAAAAGGGCGAAAACCTTCCAAATCTACAATTTTGAAGATAAAAGAAGTCTAAAAACGCCATTCCGTAGGGAATGACCAAATTGCGATACGATTGGATCATTAATTTAGCC